TATCAAACCATTTTGATATTGGGGTCTTTTACTTCATAGATATTATTAGAACAGTTTAAGACTTGTTTTCTTATGAAAAATTGCATTCCAAATATCCATTTTCGGAAGGAAAAGGTTACAAAATTCATTATTTGAAAGGCATCGTTTATTGCAATCACAACTCGAATAACACTGCAATAGCCATGCTCCTTCCCAGTGGATACCTTAGCGGTCAAGCAAAGAGCCCTTAAAAGTTATCAGTATTTGTCGTACACTTTCAATCACTTGTTTCAAGGTCTTCATTAAAGTGATCATTTGCTTCAAAGAATCAAGTTGTTCTCACCTGCGACGAACTCTCTGGTCTTATCTTCACGTTTTCAAGAGGTGCCCCTATTTATTGACCATTAGAACCTTTGACCACTCTATGGTTTTCCACTATAGAGGTATGAAATGATTGTTATTTATGGATACTTGTACTATTCCTCATGAAGGACTCGTTAGGGTATAGTGTGAGGATCTGTACTTTTAACGTGTGTTTAAACTCGCAATCACCCCGAAAAAGTTCATCTTCAAAAAAACATTTTCCTGACTTTAGATCTAGTTCCTGTTAATTTCTGTTAACTTATCACATGTGATTCCTATCATAAAGGCTTTCATGATAATTTTTTATTAATTTCTTTTATCTGCGAAAAAAATTTCTTCACATTGGTTGTTGGTTATGTTCTTTTTTCGTGCACTTTAACACATTTTTATGGTTTCTAGGATTCCTAAAATGTTTACTTCTTAGTGTATATATAAATGATAATTGACCTTGAAATACTAGTACGTGTATCAGAAATCTTGGCGGTGCACATGGTAAATCCAAAAAATTATACAAGTACTGCTCGCTCTCGCGCTGATGGATTTGTTCAATAGAAATTTTCACCTAAAATTCTTATTAGTCCGTTTAAACATGTTAGAAATTGGGTATGTGCTGAAGCTCCATTAATAAGACAATTTAAATCCTGTTTAATTATCACCAAAGTTTAATTTTTGTCTTAAAAATGAAGATGTTTTTTAAATTATGTAGCAAATTGCAGCGAGTCAAAAGTACTATCACGATAACTTGTAATGATAAATCCAGAAATGACTGGATTAGGTTATAAATCAGGAACTGGTCGAAAAGGTTGTTTATTTCTTCAATGTTGATCCTTTAACCTTCGGCGCCTTTCATTTGAACTGTCGTGGAATCAGTAGTGGCCACGTCTCTACACAGTGGACATTGCAATGGTCAATTTAATGTCCTTGTGAGATATCAGTATTTGTCAAACACTTTTATTTATTACTTCCAAGGCCTCGACAGAAGGATAATCATTTTTTACATAACTGAACAAATTGATGACGATGGTTTTATCATATTTTGTAGTTTGATGCCCATATAACCTTGAACCGTTGATTATATTCAGAATGTCATTTTTCAGGCTTGTTGAACATTATCATTTTCCCCATCATAAAATAAAAACGAGAAAGAAAATTTTTGCTTTATTGAACAAATTGAGTCTTTTTGACAGCCTTGTGTGATTTTTTATTCATTTTGTTATCTTAAGCCACACAAATAGACTTCAATGACAAAAACACACACGGCGATCAAATGATGAATGATATTAACGTTAATTTTTTGTAAACATATGCTAAAAATAAAATTTTTAAACATTTATAATGTATCTCCCTGGTAGAAGTCACAGAGGAGTCAAGAAGAAGGTGGATTATGTACACAAACTCAACAAGGTGTAAAAAACATAATTTATCAAATAATTATGTAAATTACTCAAAAAACACGAGAAACTTTGTGACCTTGTCATCGGAACCGAGAGAAGTTCAATGTTCTGGTCAAAGAAACAACAACAAACAAGGTGGCAGATCAGCGGGAGATATCGCTCCTCATTCTTTTTTTTTTCTTCAATACTTAATTTGAGTTCATAAAACACAAAGACAAAGCGAATTTATAGTGCCACACACGAGTTTTATGAAAATAAAATAGGCTTGCAAATACGCTGATTTAAAACTGATTTTAAAACTGATTTGAAATTTTCAAAACTTTAGTTCTTTTGAAAAAATAAAATATTGCAAAAATACACATTAAGTGGTTTTTGTTGTAATTTTTAAAAAGTTTGGATTTCATCTATATTTATGTGATGTATAAATAATACATATTGAAAAATGTGTCGTTAATGATTTTTTTAAAATATATATTTATTCAAATGTACAAGTACAGTATTTCATCATATTTCTATTAGATGTTTAGAAAATCAAAAAGAAAAACAAGTAAACTTTGTTCACAAAACCTCCCCCGCAATCCAAAGCACTATGGAATCGTCAAAATCACTGTCGATTATTCATCAAACGTCCTAATTCAATTAATAATTTCATACTTAAATTCTTGTCAATGTCAATTATTTTTGTTATTTACGAAATAGAGCAAAACAATATAAAAAATAAAGGAGATTAATGATTATCTATTGTTGTAAATCCTATAATATATTTTGTTTTCAATCATTTCATGTCGCCCCGACATAATCAATCACGGCCGCCTACATCAGCCTTACGCTTCACAGAGGTTTGGTGTTCTCCTTCTCCTGGGAATACAGAACAAAAAAAGCCTAGAAAAAGTCTGTAGCTGACAACCGTGAAACGCCCGCAATTAAATAGATTAAACACTGCATTTTACTTAGCTATTTTTATTATTGAACTCTGCATCCCATTGGCTACCCACACAAGGAAGAGAGTTCAATTGACAACGAAATTTACAAGATAATTTGTACTTTTCTGCTTTTCATTTACGCCAACTGCAGAAAATAACATCTTGTATGAATGGGAGAGCCAAAAATAACGCAGAAAGAATTTAAATGATAGTGTTTAGCAGTTATCAAGGCCTATGCCTGACTGTTTCATTAGAAATGTGTTTTGTTGCTCTGAGTTTCTTTTTCTGTTTTTTTGCAGGAGGACGTGTTATTACGAACTTAAAGTAAACTGGATAAATAGAAAAAATTCTTGGCAGGGGATGAAAGGTGGAACTGTTTGACGAATCCCGGAAATAAGTTACTCGTCTCTCAACCCCCGCCTCCAACGGAAAGCTAATTGTTGTGTGTTGTTTGCCATCTGTGTATCTGCCTGTCAGAGCTGTACCCTTTCCTAATCCCTGAAAAAAAATTCAGGTATTTTTTATGTTGAACTTCGTGTGAGCTGCATTAACATCATTCCAAAATATATATTTCTCTTCTGTTAGGAGATTTTGTATCTATATTTTCAGTTACACCTTAAACAAATAATACATACAGAGAGAAATGAGAGTGGTAAAATAACATAACACTATATATGATGTATCTTTTCCAGCAAAATCATCGACAATTAACATGATTAAGGTACGATTAGAATTATATTATCATATTTGGCACCTATTCGTATTCTAAAAGGAAGATTTTGAAAATACAGGATTTCCAAGCATAAGAGAAAACATGAAAACCATGCCTCTTTTACCAACTTTCAATATGAAGTTGAAAATAATTACAAGACATTTTATCATACTATTGAAAATAAGTAAACTCGTTTTAAAATGTTTTGACAAGCTTTAATCTTTGCCAAGACTTTTAAAAAGTGTGCAAATATTTTAAGTTAACTGAGAAATCAAAAAGAAAAAAAAATATATTTCACTTTGACGAAACCTCTCTATATACAACCCCATTCCAGTAACCTTGAACCAAACTGAGTGTATATAATATATGGCTTGCAACCAAGTGTAAAAAAAAATTATATTTCTCCCAAGAGTTATCAAATAATTAATTTGATACAGAACAGTTTGATCAAAGAACTATTTTCGCCCCACGTTTTGTTTAAATTTTGTTAAAATAAAACCAATATGCAAGTCTCCGTCGGTTTCAAGGCTTTGATCTGGGCATAAAATATGTGGTATTTCTATATCATTATATATATGGACGAAACACAGTATGGGTTCTATATAATTCATAACCAGCCGAAATAAAAATAGCTTCCGATTAGATTAAAGATAAAACAGAAATAAAATAACTTGTAATCCGTGTAATTAGCCTGTCTATTTCAAAGGATTGTAACTGTAAGGTATATATACACGTGTATAGCCAAGTTGTTTTAGCATCATAATCCCCAATAGACAAGTTTAAATCCTTGTGCTTTCAAAAAATCGCATGCCAAGTGGCACGTGTGAAAATTGATATATTGATTTTTTTTTCTACGTGAAAATTAAATCACACGACCTTATAGCGTAAGGTTAATGAGGTATTCTAAATTTAACATTAAAAATATTCAAAAATAAAGGAACTGCAAGTCAGACCATTTATTTCTTTATCGACAGTTTCCTTGCTTGGATAAAAGTCCAATTATTCGCATCCGGAAACTTCTATAGAAACTCATTAAAAATCGATACCGGTTACTTTTAATATGGTCCATGAACTATTTTTAATGGTTTACATTCATCTGAGAATAGAGCACCGTATGAATGTTAATTTGTTCCAAGAGATGTATTGTTGCTAACGACTTGGCTCAGAGAGCGTCCAAAACACTTTCATCTTGGGAAAAAAAATTTCTTGATCATTTTGCAAGAGAGGAATCGATATAGAGAGATCATTTAAAATATATATGTAGAATTTCCCCCCACTTTTTATCATAAAAATTCTTATTCTTTAAGCTTTGAGGAAGTATTTACCATTCTTTAAATGGATAATCGAAAATGTCATATTACTGCAAGGTATTTTCCTAACTAGACTGCCATCTTTGTATTGATTGTATAAGTCAAAGTATATATATAACCAAAAAGAAATAAATCCGATACCGTCAAAATCAATATTAAAAGATGCCTTCAAAATTTCCTTGGATAAGGCCCACTGTTTTTGTACTACTCATTGATCCGTAGCATGATAAATCCTTTCATTCAATTAACTTTTTATTACCTTCCCCACCCCCGATATTCTGAAATAAATTTAAAAGTACAAAAATAAAAGCGTATCAGATTCTATCAAATGTATTATTTATTCAAAATCATACAGAAGTATATATTATATGAATCAACTGATGTTTACGATGGATATTGATTTAAATGTCTTCACAACATTATCAAGTCTATGCATGGCTCCTCTTTCTCATTTACCAGGAACTAGTATACGGTAATGGAAAAACCAAGTCCACACCTTAAAATAAGTGCGAGTGTTCTAAGTCCAGCACGGCACATTTGGTCAAATAAGGACACATTGCTTGGGTCAGTTCCAAGCCAGTCCAAAGGTTGTTGCAAATTGTCCTTTGAATGACGGTCTTATCAGCGTTTTCCCTACTTGGGTAACACACACCCGAGTCCTTGACCAGCACTTTCTCAGTACAGCGAGAGTCTTATAAAACAGACGCATGGGGTATACGTCTTCGAAATAAAACCAAAGTTAAATTTCTATAAAGTTCAGCGTCCGAGCACTCGGCGGAAAATATTCCCCATCTTCTTTCTCTGTTTCAAAGCTGTGAGCACAACGTTCTCAAACACTCTCTGTACACTTTCCATGTCTGAAGACGAACACTCGACGTACCGATCGGCGCCGATTTCTTTGGCCATTTTATGGCCCTCATCATTACTGACGCTGACTCCCCCCAGGGTAGAGCGGGTATCAGTCTGGGTGGCCACTACGATAATAGGAACACGTTTTCCCAGAAAGTCTTTGACTTCAGGTGCCCAGAATTCCTTAATGCTCTCAAACGAGTCCCTGTCTGAGACTGAAAAGCAGAGGAGAAGGACCTCGCTGTCTTTGTAACTGAAGGACCTCAGCTCCGTGTATTCATGCTGAAACAAGGAATAAGAAATGTCAGAGATATAAATTACATAATAAAAATACATATATTTACTAACCCTTTAGAATTACTAAATCTATGCTATAATGTATATAAAGATCAAAACATCATCTAGAAATGAAAAAAGGAATTGATGCTTACCTCTCCTGCAGAATCAAAGACGCTGACCACATATTTGTCCCCTCCCACGGTGGAGTTCCCGGCGTAATTATTAAACACGGTGGACACGTACTCCTGGGGCATGCTTAGTCCAGAGAAAACCTCCGACAGGCAAGTTTTCCCCACCATTCCATCCCCGATCACCGTACAATTAATTGGTTTCTTCATATCGCTTAAATGAACCATTGTATATCCTAACACAGGCAATACAGCAAAGACACAGCGTCTGGTTCTGTTGCAATTAAGTAATGATATAAATAGACGATATCGCCCAGTTTTTAAACGTGCGTCGAGTCATGGGATTCACTGACAGCCAATCATGTGCGAGCTCACGAGGATCTAGTTAACTCTGATTACCTGTGTAAAGATTTTACCTTTGTAACGAGGTGTGTCTTTTGTTTGTATTTACTATCAATTTTTCTGATAGTCCTTATTTCTGGAACTTCCGTTTACGTCGCGACTAATGATGCAAGAAAAATTTAACTAAATGTTGCAAGTTCTTCTACAAAGGTTACCAACTAGGACCATGACTAATTTACAAAAACAATTTCTGTTATTTTTTCAAAGTATTTTAATCCTTTTAATTTACAATATAGTTTATAAATACTATTATACTAACTTTATACTTAACTTTTGCAGACTTTACTACTGAAATTAAAATCAAAATATCGATTATGATGTTACTGTTTCATTTTGTCGTGTTCATATAAAAATGTGCACCTTTAATATAGAAATGTAATCATTATCATGTACATGTATTCCTTGTATAATTGACAAGTACGTAGTATGTGTTTTTCTTTCACTATAAGTATTTGACTTTATCTAAAGCGTAAAAACAGAATTCTTGAATTTGTTTAAAAGTAAACTCTACTACGGTCAAAATCACCGTTGTTATTCCGTCAGAATTCTTGAAATTGTGTAAAAGTAAACTCTTCTACGGTCAAAACCACCGTTGTCAATATGTCAAGGTTTTTCGCCTACGATTTTGATATGTTTATACACCTGATAATAAGATGTAATTAGGGTTGTATTACTTTTTTTATTGAGAAAATCGACATATTGACTTATAAAATTTTTTATTTTATAAATATGTACACTCTTCCAAATTTAAAACTAATTGGCTTCAAGTTGCGGTCAATCACCCAAAGATCAAGACCTTTAGCTGCGGAGCCCCTCGGTCCTTTTACGCCGTCATGCAGTGGTAATGACCTGTACACGTATACCTGCAGATTTTGGTCATTTTTCCTGTCAGGCAGTTACCTGTGCATGTATCTTCTTAAAATTATACCTGAAACCCGGGAAATTAAGAAATCGGGTTAAGTTGTTTTTCGCCGAAATCACTTTGTATGCTTTATCAGCCAGGTAAACACAGATTGCGATCGATCTAATGCAGATGTATTTATTTAAATAAGTTGTATGCATTACGTGCAGCCAATGGTTTTTATCGTGTATTTATGTCCCACTTTACAGAAGGATTTTAACCTTGAAGTTTTTATTCTCTAAACATGAGAGAAACGTTATTTGATAAATTGATATTAAATTTATTAGAAATACATGTAAAATGAAATTCAGTTTATAATTCATAAAAAACTTATAAACACATTTGAAAATTCAAATAATTTCTATTTTTCTTTCTCCAATTAAATATTAAGTATTTATTTGAAAAATAGACCATGTGAAAACAATTAAAATCAAGACATCTACAACTGATGGATATAAATATGTAAAAGTACATTATGAACATCTAAGTAATTTGTTAAAGTTTAGGTGTATGACTAAATAATCATGTCGTGAAGACGGATGTATTTCTAGGGCTGGATCCAGTCTAGTTATAAACACACCAGTTTGTTTCCAAAACAGACAATAAAAATTCAATTTTTATGTGTCAGAGCAATAAAATGCAACACTGGACCTGATTTTTACACCATTACACACAAAGTCAATATCATTAGCTGGGCGTTCTTCATGTATTTATAAGCGATACTCGATATATTTTTAAGGAAGTAAAAATATAGCGTTAAATCATCTTTTAGAAAGCTTTTTAAACGTGAAATGAAAAAGTCTATTTCTGGAAAACTAATCTGTTAAAATGTATCTCTTTAAAAGAATTAAAACACTTTTATATTGGCAAAAAAGAAAAATGCCTACTTTACAGAAATGCTTTATCTATATAGGAAAAAAAGGCCACCCCTTTTCTGTGAAAAGTCACAAGGCTTTCAGTTAATGTGTTATCTAGACAGGTACATCTAACATAAATATAGATATTCTCTCACTTCCTTATGTTGCATATAAAATTTGTAATATCGGATCAGATAACCCAATAACACCACGTTTCTTCGTTATCAGCGAGAGCATTTTCAGAAATTGCCCGACGAATCCATGAATGAAAATTGCTGCACTTTGTATTTTATCTCTGAGTTTCTACTGTCGTTCAGTGCAGATTCCAAGAAGGAGACTCGCAGACAAGCTTCATCTTTCCTCTGCACCTTCTTACACAACTTCTATCAATTCAAAGAATCTTTCAATGCATCTAAAGAGAGTGATAAATAATGCAATTAACAAATATCTCTTTTTAAACTGTACTTTTGATGTTTCTTTTCAAGTGCAGAAGAAATAAAACAGAGAAACGTAAGAGGGGGAATGGAATTAAATTCAGAAAATGGTTACCGTAGGCTGAATGCTCTCTTCGCTATTGAGGGATATTTTAAGCGTCATTTAGTACAATAGATAATTTTGTGTCAACATTGAAAATAAAATCTTATAATAATGATTACTTAATGAAAATTAAAACTGTAATTTTTTTCGTTGAGCGATATTTTATAAAACGCCCGATTTTAAGGGATTAAATATCAGTTAAAGCCGCGCAACATTTTAAATTTAAGATATGACTAAATTAAAAAAAAAAAGAAATGATAAATGGAACTTTTTGTCTTGGTCAATTAAGGTGGTATATCCATCTAAATAGTTCTTAATATCACGACTATAATAACTTGACATCATTTGGCGGAGCATTTCCTTGGTGAACATTATTTTAAATTTTTTTTAAACATGACTTTGATGGAAAGGTGCAATTTAGAAAGATTACGAATACTTTGTTAGCAGGAAACTTTTTTCTAAAACATTCATTCATGTATATACTTGTACTGCTATAAATGAATTACAGTACATTTATTATGACTATTGTAGTATGTAATGTAAATCGCTCAATTAAGACAGGGGATTTTTCTGAAAGATGTTAAAAACTTAATATTGTAATTACTTAGTATTTGGTTAATGTTCATTGAACACATTTCCTTTTTGTAAATGAAAAAGCAAAGGGGATCTTTGTTCATGTAAATCAAAATTAAGAATAATTGAAATGATGCCAACTACATATGGCAGTGGGTGTCAGTCATTTGCAGAGTTCCCAATGGAAAAAATGGTTTTTTGAAAATTTCGGAGTGTTGCTTCAGAACGAAATACATCGATTTTTTAAGTTATAAATCTACGATAAATATACATGTATAAAGGGATACTTAGATATATTCCGGAATGGAAAAATCATTCAGGAAGTTCCAAAACAAAAGTTGGTTACATTTATATAATCAATCATTTACAAAATCATTAATATATTAAGTTACCTTGTTGATAATGGAATTTAATATCACTGAACTATGGAACTTTTAAAGTGTTGGTCTTACTAAATTAACGAAAGAGACTCTCAGTAGGGGGGTTTGTTTAGAATCAAGGTCAGCTGTTCCGTTACATGAATTGTGTTTTGATTGTAATTTAAGATGACCCCCTTCACTGTTTGGTAAACTTTCCATTCCTTTTAACAAAGGGGAAATATTCTGGAAACTGTGTGAGGTTAAACTTTTCATAATTATGACTTAAAATATCAGCCTCATATATCTGGTTATCTTTACCGCCTTTTAGATGCTCTCAATAAATCATATGAGAATTCAAAAGGCCTTATTTAGTTTCTGATTAAGAAAACAATAACCAAACAAAAAACAAAAAAAAACATATGCATATTTTACTTGTAATGTTATCCACAGTAAATTCTTTTCTTTTCTTCCGTGAAACTTTGCCTAAACAAAATAAGGTTACAAAAACATGAAATATGGGAATTTTTCCCCGAACCGTGAATTAACATTAATTTATCAAATTGAGTGATTCAAGTTTTATTACAAAATTGTACATTTCGATTTTGCTACAGGAGGAAAATAGAAGAAGGAATTTTCATTTATGGTTTTACTTAAAAAAAAATTAAATTTAAAAAAGGTAGCAACGTTTCTTTCTACAGGTGCTTGACACTTTGAAGTGCAAGTTGTGGGTCCTTCGGACGAGACCCGAAAACCAAGGCCCCGTGCGTATCATGACAGGCGTTGGCACGATAGAGATCCCTCTCTGCTAAATGGACCCTCAACGCCGAGTAAAATTCTAAATTTGAAGCACTTCAGTGGTATATGCTGACGTTCGTATATGAGTGAAAAATTCTCGAATGGGACGTAAAAAAACATACTATCAATCAAACCCTTTCGAGAATTTTTCACTCATATTGAGCTGGCAACACTTACCGGGGAGGGCTGATTTTAGATCTATATTCGGCCTCTATGGGCATTTGAGCAATGAGGTACTTTTATTATGCCAGCACCTGCTGTGACACGGGACCTCAGTTGGTCTCATCCGAAGGACCTGTCTCCACGTCCCGCAGTAGAATCTGAATCCGCGACGTAAGGATCAATTTTTCATGGATTCTTAACTCCAACCAAATTTTTAAAATCTGGAATACCTTTAACATATGAACTTTCTGTCATGAAAATGACAGAATAAAAATTACACTGTATAACTAGCCGTGTTTTCAGAATGTTTATTACTTATTAGACCATTTACCATCTGGAGGAAGAGCCATCATGTTTTGTAATTTAAATTTCAAATAAATACGGCTTTATTTCCGTTGACCTTAGAAATAAGATGGAGATTAGGACACATAAGGTATATCACTTATTAGATAACTTCATTTCACTTAAATTTCCGAAAAAAATCTTTCATTTATTTGTTGAAAAAAGATGTCCATTCAGTAACCTAAGAAAACATAAAAAGCAAACAGCAATATCAAAATCAATGTTTATATTTGCTAATTTTGAAACATGATGCAAATATGTACATGTAAAAAAAATGATATCTTTAATAAGATTTTTCAGTTTTAAGTTCATCATTCACATGTCTGAAATCACGTCTTTCATGCATGCGTAACATACACCAACGTACACTTCAGTGATAGTGTAGTTACCCAGCATCACGATATTCCATTCAATGCAATCGGGTGCAGTATCCGAAATTATTTTCCAGTTTCTTGGGTGAAACCTAAAATGTCCATTTTCAGCGTCCAATGATCCTTTTTATGATATTAAATCGCCATTTCTTCTGTGCCAGAGCAGAAGCTACTACACTTTCAAACACCTGCTGGGTTCGAACTTTGTCTTTTGAGGAACACTCGATAAAAGAGTTTCCACCAATCGATTTGCATAATTCAAAACCTTCATCAAATGTCACGTGATCAGGGTCATCACCTTCTCTATGATCCACGTGGGTTGCCACCAGGATGATGTTTTGTCTTTTATTCAGGTTTTTGATGGATGGTATCCAAAAGTCTTTTGCATTCCTGAAGGATTCTCGATCCACAACACTGTAACAGACTACAAAGACATCACGACTTTTATTTGTTGTCTTTATAAAGTCCATTTGGTGCTGCAATGTAACAAAAACAAAGTTCAGTATACAATTTCTTTCAATTTTTGAATTTAATCAGATTGCAACAGTAGTAAAAAAATTTCAAGCACTGATTCAATGTAAAAAAAAAAATTAAAAAATATTTACCTCTCCACCAAAATCTGTAATGTTGACCAAATAATGGTCCCCATAAGCTGGAACGGATGCAACGTAGTTCTCTACAACTGTCGCCAAATACCCTTCAGATGGCACTTTGTTCAAGAAGGACTGAATGAGATTCGATTTTCCAACCATCCCATCCCCGACTACAGAGCAGCTGACAGACATCTTAGACACAACCATGTTGTTTCTGACTTGTTCGCAGCTAGAGCAAAGTTTGTTGCAATTATTTCATTTGAAATGAAAGCATGTGTTATATAAGTCTTCCATATCTCCTGGAGAGTAATGTCGTAGTTCTTTCCATTGTTTTAAGTTCTCTTAGGGTGTATCGAATTCCTCTCTCCCATGTTGACACGGTTTTGAAATTTGTACCCCCTACATGCAATCTGTATGCATAGCAAGAGCACGTGAACCAATTTCTTTTAAAAAGTAGGTCTTTATCAACGAGCAGTATTTAAAATAATTTATTATGTAACCCTTAGTACATGTAGTTCATTATTAATGTGCGGTATTCAGTAGCATTTTAATGCAGACTTTTCTAATATGATTTTCTGTTGTGGAAGAAGCACAAATTATTGTACTACATAACCTGACCTTAGGAATACATAGGAATGTGCTTATCAATTTTGTATACAGACGTTTCAGCATGATTATAATTAAATGGTCAAATGAATTCCAACGGTCCGCATTGAACGACAGCCGCGGAATGCCTTCCTGTTTGACGCGTTAAGAGGCATTAAATGCTAGTCTGTACTAGCGATTGTACCGGGACCAAATCTGTCACCTTTCCCCTGAGTAATTTGATAAAACTAAACATTATAAATCACTTTGTATATTTATAAATTACATAAACTTTCCCGGGAGATTTCTCTCAGACGCAGAAGAAAATTGAATGACTGTCAAAAACTCAGTGCAGAGAGCTGCAGTCTATGATTTATGAAATTTTTAATTTGAGGGACTTTTTATGGTTTGGTGTTTTCTTTTAATCTATATTAAATAAGGAAACCAATGGTTCGCCAAAAACCCACAACAAGGACATATCAATAGAGTTGACTTTTTTTCGACAGTTCCCCTGCAGACAGCGTTGCCTATTCTTCCCGACTAGGCACATGATTTTCGATGTTTCGGATTTCAAATTTGACTTCACCTGGAAAATCTGTTTTAAAAACAAATCCATTTATAATGCCATTTGACCAATTAGGATGTGCAATCATTATCATTGTACTGATTGTGGGAGTACGCCTTAAATTGTTAAATTTGAAGTCATCATTATTTCTGAATTTTCAGCCTCGTCCAAGAACTGCAAAGTTCGAAAAAGAGATGATTTTTTTTATTTGTAAAGAAATTTGTAATATGTGAACTACATGAAGAACAAAAATCTGAAAAAGAGCTATTATGAAAGTAAATTTTGAATTAAATTATGTTTTATATATCCAATGGTGAACAATTATTTAATGTACATTTAGCCAATTTGAAAATAGTTTGCTTGCATCTTTTGTGTTATGAACTTGTAGTTAAAATTAATGACATGTTTTTCATTATTTTGATATTATCCTGGTATGTTTTCTCGCTCGGTAATGAGAATTAATGGATATAAAAACCGAACCACGTTTATTATATTAAAATAAAAGCAAATGGATTACAAATTATATAACATTTGCTTTACATAATACGTTCTGTACATCGACTCTTCAAATTAAATATAACGAGGTAAAACGTACTCAGTGCACCAGTTTTTATGCTTAGAGAGTTAACAAAGAAAATAACAAATACACTTTTAAAAACATAAACACACAAAACATTTCTCTGTATAATGCGATGACTTCTGAATTTTGCAAATTGCTTCATCATGGGTTCGTGAAGTACCGATTTAAGATCAACCAAAAGACAGTCAATACAGAGAAACAGATAAACACACCGCAAACTTTTCTTTCAAACCGAACTTCTTCAATATTATACTTAAAACACGAGTCTCTAAGTCCCGAACTAAGATCACTGCGTTCTCTGATCGTCTGTCTTCAACAAGAAAAAAGACTTTGCGGTTTTAAGGCTTTGGTTATTATCATAAGAGGCTAACCTCTTCATTAGCATTTGGTGTAGGCAATAACTACTTTCTTACCTCTTTAAACGACCCTGTTTATTCAGGGTTAAATGTGTATTCAACACAAGCAGCTCGAGTGTCGGTTAAATACCCAATTTTTGAATGCATCAAAGTGTGGTATTGTGTAAGAAATGAGCTTCATGTAAAAGTCAGACAAAAATGCAGAGGAGATGATTTTATCACGGGTGTCTGTTGGAATCAGAAGAAGAAAGAGACACACACCAGGCAGGCGCGACAATTACCGATATCTATAACAATCAAATACCCACAAACAGAAAAAAGAAATATTTCCAGGTTCCTATGATTTTTACAAAGATTGTTATGATAATGAATTTAAGCATGACATTTTGTATTGCAAAATTTGCAGTTTTAGTTACGATTTTACACAATTTTATTTAACTAAGAGGTCATTAAAATAACCAAAAAAAACATAAACACTGCAACTTAATTTTATATTGTTTTCAAAGATATTTTCACCTTTTTCATGCATGTATTCCTTTAAATGTACTTTGCAAAAAGTATACATTTAAGAAGGGAATACAAGCATGAAAAAGGCGGGATAAGATATAATTTTTTGTCTTCGGACCACCAGCGTGATGGTAGCTAAAGAAAACTAGGTGATCTAGATCTTTTACCCGATGAGTAAGACCATTCCGGAAACCCAGAACCCTTATCAATGTGATGAATATCAAATAAATTAAATGAAACATAAAATATATATCTTTGAACTCTTAAAAAAAGTAAAACGGGATTTTAAGGGGACCGCACCTTTTTTGTAAAATAAATGATTCCAAACCCTCTTCGATTTGTACTGCTTAAGGTGACATGTACAAATCCAGAGCAAATAGAGTAGAGACGGACAAAATACAAACCAAACACGGAGCACCATTCACCGGATCACCGGAATGGTTAACTCATACAATGGAGGGGTTTTATGTACATCTTGTGGCAGACCTTAAATCAGTAAGACACACAACCCCAAAAAGACGGGACCATTGTCGACCAAGATAAGTCCACAATGCGGGGCGCCATGAGAAGCAATTGGTAAAAGACGATAAATACTCTGTCAATATATTAAACAATTTGTTGTCGTTTGGTTTTGGAGAACCGTGCTACTATTGAGGAATCAAGTTATAATCAAACATTTGGTGATCTTCTAGTACTACGTACAGTTATTTCATTCATGCTTTTCCAATCCTTATATTCATTCAAAAAATCATTTGTAAAAATGAAAGACCTTAATCAAATACGTAATTTTACTAACGCTGTTATGATGCTTTGGAACACCGTCACAGTTTCTGACATACATAACATGGCACTGTATTTCAAGGTAACAATAAAGTAGCAAGAAGTAGCAAAAACACCTCTTTTTCTGCTTAAAACTGGAATAAATCAGTATGAGGATGAAATGTAAATAGTGAAAGTTTCTGGCTCAAAAGTGTTGGCAAGTTGAAGTCTTGCAAAAAGATACTGTATACAAATTTGAAAAGAATGTTCGACGCAAGAGGAAAAACAAAAACCTAAATCTTTCACCAAATGCAACAAGATTGTGTCGTAACATCTACTGTATATGCACATCTTGATTGATCATCATCCAGCCGCTTTTCTCTAAATAAATTTCAGTTGTGCGTAGAACAAAAGGTTTTTAATTAGTTGCAAATCAAAATAAAAAAAAACAATAATAAAAAAGTAGAGATTTTTTCTTTTTATTTATGTGCTGAAATTTCAGTACATTTGAGTACAATGTATTTTGATAATTTACTCAGTAAGAAAAAAAATCTATGTACCATTTAATCATTTTGCGTTCGTGTGTATTTTACAAAGTTTTCAGATTCTTCTAATTATACATTAATAGTCATGATTAGGACTCTTATATGTGATCAAATTGTAGAACACACCTTCTCATATATTTGGGTTTAGACAGCAGAGAGCACACCTTTTACTTCCCTTACATATGTCACCTGTTCTAAACCTGTCTTAGTTTTAAAATTTAATTAATGGACGAATTGACACACTGACATACTGTTAATTGATAAAATGATAATTAATGAATTAAAAGTACAAAGTACTCTAAAATGACTTTTTCGTTTTCCAAGAAATGAACTTTGATTGGTTTAGCTGTTTTCATACATGTATAATCGATTTATTTTACAAGTATTTTTGATGCACTTGACATGAGAAAGAAGTTAAAATGCAATTAAATATTTGTAGTTTGTGGCGTCTTATTTATATTTTTTATGCACTTGATTATAATGAAGTGCGCCAGTCATTCGATTGAAGCATATTAAATCATTCTACTTGTTTTAACTGATATAACAGATGCACAATACGGAATTTTGTTTTCGATCAGACCTGATATTTTTGCGCAGTGTTTAATCTTGGCTACAATTTGAGATGGAGTTGATGCCAGATACAGCAAAAACTTCCAAAACCATTGAGTTGTTACGTGATAAAAGTCAAACGTCGCATTATCCAAGTAAACAACTTGCTCTGCAACAGGTTACCAAACTGGAATCTTTATCCAAGTCTGTTAAGCCACTAGCATTCCGACACCTGCTGTGTTTTCAACATGTTTTGTCCACCAGAAAGGTGACGAACCAAGTATCCTTTAATGCCTCTGACCTTGGGAGGAATCCTGAAATAACTAACGCGGAAAGCTAGAACGAATCCACGGGCCTTGTACTTTACCCTCCCGAACAGACAAACACCCAGGGACATTCACGTGATTGGTAAACGTGTTGTACTTGGTCATTTATCAAAAGTTAGATTCGGACAGTGGTCAGGGAGTTCTGTTAGAACTTCTTTAAATTGGCTCAACTTTGGTGATTAAGTAAACATGTTCTTTGTTTCTAACTCTAGAAACGAGAGTATGAATGCAATAAGCAAACATACTGTTGCTTTGATAGGGGGATACAAAAAGCAAACTACACTTTTATGTTGATTGGTATTCCAATCTAGAAATATCGTATTTTCTTGATTCCAGTATTCAGAATTCTTTTCCCAGTTCTTTGAAACCATAACTACGCAGTATGATCCCAACTCTTTTTCTTGGTATCTGCAGTTATCAATTTCGCCTTTCTCGGACTACCGAGGATAGATTAAGAAATAATGATACTTAAAAGGTAAAAGAAAAATAATTTTCATTGCATATTATTCATTCCGCAGACAAATACAGGCTTAGACTTAATCCTGTGTACCCTGTTACCTGCAATGACTACACGGTCTTGCTGAAAGAGAAGACACATTCACAGGGATCAGAACTGAACAAATTTATGACCCAAATACTTCTATAAATTGTATTCCAGCGATGTCATCTTTAATATACATACAATAAATAGCCCAGGACTACTTTGGCTTATTATCAAATGAAAGTTTTTCCCCAGGAGTCGATGAACTTCAGCAGTGGCTTAGAAGTCCGGATCTGAACACTTGTTAAAATTATTAGTGTATCTGCTTTGTTAAAAAAAGATAAGATTCTCGAGATTTAAATATAGATGATTTAATACCTTTCTTTATGACGTATATAAATTAATATGAAAAATGCACCAACTATACAACAATATGTTAGAACAAATCTTACAAACGAGCAAAACAAACAAAACATTCATGAACGATAATAATATTGCACATAAAAAAGGAAACAAATGATTCATGTAGTCAGATCTAAGAGTATTCACCAGGATTACTGTTTTACTATGCTGCTGCGACATGCTTTGGTTTGTACAAGCTCTCAATTTCTTATTTGTGCTTCACGTGTATAGCTAAGTCGTTGTGTCTCTTTGCAAGAGTTATGCTCACATTACAAATCATATTACACATAACGAAATAGCCGCTCTGTACGGAGACATGGGCCCTCTTTAAAAAGCTTTGAAAGCTTTGGATGGATAAAGAAACAGTTCACGTATTTCTATAGTTCACCGGTCGTGTTTCCTTTGATTGACTTTTGCTTTCTTGTTTTTCAGGGTGAGCTGAAGTGAAAGACCAGCTACCATTTCGAAGACATTGGAAATACCAGTTTTTTGAACAGCAGAACATTCAAGAAAAGCGGACATATTGAGTTCATTACACAGGTTTCTTCCTTCTACTTCTGTGACGTGGTTTGGGTTATTTTCACATCTTAAGTCTGTATGTGTGGCTACGAGCAGTATGGGGATCTTGGGGTTGATGTTTCGAATCAAGGGTAGCCAGAAAGACTTGATGTTATAGTAAGAATCCTTATCCACCACACTGTAGCAGACGATTGTAACTAGGTTACTAGACTGACAGTTAGGTCTCACGTGGAGGTCTTCCTGCAAAAAACAAAATATAAACCATAAGAATTCTGCATCAACTCTCTTCTTTTTTAAATAATCCAGAAATGTATTAGTTTTGCTATTTTAGAGAATCTAGAAATAAAAGAGAGTATCCTACCTCAATTGAGAGATCTGTGATTTGCAGCTGATGCTTGACTCCAGCCAAACTGAGGTGAGTACAGTAGTTATCCATGAATACAGTGGCTGTATAACTAGGTGACAGTGTATATCCCAGAAAAGAGTGAATAACAGAGGTCTTCCCCACCATCCCGTCACCAAGCATAACACAGCGGAGCAACGATCCTTTTCCAGTGTTCACCATGGCTTTCATTTCAAGAGAAGAGAGCTACCAACACAAGTCTTAAAGAAAACGGTATAATTTCGTAACTTTCACATAAGTAATTTATATAGTGAAGAGGCACGACTTCTTGTCCAATAGGAAAGGTGTTTACAAAAGACGTAGGTAGCTAATGTCGGGTTCAGTGATTAGGCACCCGTGACCTTGTTCGGGGTAGGTTGTTTACTCCGTCGAGTGTACGTAAGGCATTAAAATGACAATGCACAGTTTATCTTTAGGATGTTTAAAAGTGTATTCAGTGCCGCAAATGATAACTAAATAATAGGAAAAAACCAGGAGGTGTATTTAAGATTATCTTCAGTCTGCTGGAGAAATGTAAAACTTTTATTTTTGTAAGAAAAAAAGTAGTTCGTCAGCCTTTCAGCCGTATACATCCCACTCGTTTTAAAAAAGATTTATGTCATTATAAGCTTTTCATAAAGTGCGACGTACGAATACGTTATGGTAAGGAGCGAAGCTGTTAAGCTTTTGAACATTTTGTTAATTGTTAATGAGACCTCCCTTGTCAGATATAATACTCTTAAGAAGCACTATCTTGAACTGTACTAGAAATAGATAAATTAGCAAAACAACTGTTATTTGTAAAGCGATATACTTCGGTACTGAAACCAAAGTACGGAAAGATATTTGATGGCTTTGCCCTTAAAATTTGCCAAACTGGACACTTGAAACTTTGAATGTTATGTAAATGTTCCATTCTTTTTATCTGTGTTGGTCCCTTACTGCTCGTTAAAATCACCTTCTTTTCCTAGTGCATGTTTCGCCGCACCTTTTTGACACCAAGAAACTCAGTGAAACCTGCCAAACTAACTCATTTGGAAATAGATAATGTAAGATATAAACGAGGATACTCAAATTTCAAAGGATTTCTGAGCTATATTTGTTTGTAATGTACTCTGTATCAAAATCGTAATGATTTTTTTTACTACTTCAACCTCTCTTTGTTAGCAGATCATAATTATAATGTTTAATGTTCTGTTGCAGCTACAGCTGTGTTTATAAATTGTTCTCATCTTTCAAACATTACGTAATGCTAATTCAATCGTGATGTTTGAAAAGATTCTAAGCAAAAGTTTTCCCCATATTTCTACAGAGTTTAATCGGCGGGAATCATTAGCAGAGATTTTTTTTTAAAGCTTTATTAATTTTGGTCATTGCTCATTTGGACTGTACCACGCGGTTTGTTGCATCAGATTAAAGTAATTGTCCGCCAATGACTTTTAGTATGTTTGATGCATATTACAATCAAAATTGAAAGTTTGCAGGAACTATCCCTGTTAATGCGTTTGTTTGGCACCCTCTGAAGAAGATTTTTGGGGTTATACAGGAAGATATAGAAAACGCCTGATAAGGGGATGCTTCTGACTCGATTTGGGGGTATTTCCCAATTTGTATACATTCAGTTCCTCCCTTTAAGTGTCGTGGATATTCCAGGGATACCTCAAATTTTCTATCTATAACCAAAAAAAAAAACAGATTATCCTCAACACAAGAAGTGTCCTCAAAAATTATATAGATAGTACCTGAATTGTCAGTATATGACCACAATCCACAATAAGGACGCATTCTTTCTAACCGCAACGATGACCCTTACGCATCCAGACGTGTGTCTCGGGTTTACCCATACTATTTATACAGTGATAAAGTAAAAATTTCATGTTCTACTTCAAAATAAATAGTAGGAAAGGGACAGGAATGTAAAGTATTGCAGAAATGTTACGAGGATATGCCAAATCATGGAAGGGACTTCTGCAATACTTCAATTAGCAGAACCTTGCAGATGTAAGCCGTGATCTTTGGTGCAATCCTGTTTAAACTCACATAAGTGTTGAAAAGGAAAGCAATAGCGCACCTGTTAAGAAGCTTAAGTATATTTAGACTAGAGATTTAGAGCCTTGTACTTAAAGACCCTTACATTGTAACCTCAAGTGGTCAGTTCAGTTTTCTGGACAGGTGATACGTTTGCAGATACACTTTTCACCGTTATACCCGGTATGTCGAGTGTGTTCGTACATACGTCTTTTGTAAGGATTGACAAATACTTGGTTCGATAAAGTCCAATGGCATTTTCATATTCAGGATCTGTACGCAATGCAGCATTTTTGCTATCATAAGTATATGTATTTAATGAATGATTCTATGATCGAAGTTTTGGAAGAAACCTAAATAGAGGAGTGCTATAAAATGCCCAGATCATATACAGACTTTTTTTCTCAAATAAAAATTTTAATTTTGCATACTATCATAAAGTAGAAATTAAGAAATATCTTCTATATAATTATTTTTCATTGTTCAGCAAATAGCCTTTTAGATGCAAAAAGGGAAAAAGAAACGTCGACAACATAAAATTAACAGTCAACATTTTAATGAAAAATTTGGCAATCATAACAGTTAATGTAAAACAAGAAAGCATTTCGAAATTTAAAGTGCATATTATAATACTTCCTGGACAATTACAAGTGATCAAAGTTCATTAATGAGAAATTTGGATTCGCTTCGTGTTCTTAACAAGATTACATACATTATTTTGTTGTCAATTGCAAGACCCACCCCCGCGATGTGTTCTTTCCGTCAGCTCGCGAATCTTGTCACCATTAGCCTTAAAAACCTAACTAGCATGTTTGTAGACATTTATTTGACTTTTGAATAAATGATTTTTAGATATGGCGCCTTTTTACTGTCAGGTAATTTCTTAGTTATTAATTAAGAGATCCCCAAAATGCAATTTAAACAAAAGCCGCGGACATTTCCTCTTCGATGTACATGTAACGTACATAATGGTTACCGTTGGAGTTAATGAGAAGGTTTGCAATAAGTTTGCAATTAAACTCATTCTCTATAAACACGTATTTTGATTACATTGTGTCTTAACTTTATTTTTTTTTTAAAGTATAGGGTTTCCAATTTGCACTTTTAATTATTTTGGAAAAAAGTACGATTTGGTATTTGAAGAACATTTTTCATATGAATGGAGATTCAGTGTTCTGTGTCTATCAATTTTTGAAAACAAAACATATTTTTTGTAATGTTTGATATTAAAGTTACGTTGTCTAAAGTTTAAAATTATTATAGATATCACGCTCTAATTTGTGTTAAAAAAGAAACATTTTAAAAACAAATAATTGAATAGTTCAGTTCATTATACAGAGACACATTTCGAAACTGATTGAACAGAACACAAACTTTTAAATACATTTAAACTGTCTAAAAAATGTTAGGAAAAAATGAAGATTCATTTTAGTTAAAATTTTGACTCGAATGGCTTTTGATGTCCAGTGAGCAAATCAAATGTCAAATTCTAATTTCTTTTCTTTTCTCTATAATTCAAACAAAGTTCTATTTTGAATATTTTTTTTTCATAAGTTTTAGAGTGCAGTGAACTCTAAACTGAAAGACCGTGGATGTTTTCTCTCCATGTTTCGTGTATATATAATAGTATTAAAAAAGCTTCAGTCACACGCTTAAAAAATTGAACGATGACCGATTAATAAATTTACTCTCCTGTAAAATTATACTGAAAAAACTTAATATCAAATGAAGCTAAACTTAATATATTTATAGAGATAAATTCAATATTTGATGTAAATTATGCAAATGCATTGAAGCAGATGATAATATTAAGTTCACCGAAATTTGTCAGTCCATTGTGCATTGACCTGGTACCCGTAGGGGGTAAGGGCAATGAATCCAACAGTGTTGGCAACTGATTCTGTTTAAAGTGAATGAACAGGTAATATATACCGTACAGGTTATCTTTAACCCAGAAAATTTATTTCTAGATTTTACATTCTCAGCTATGTTTTGTAAAGAAAACAAAAGGTGAGAAAGTCAAAATAGGATAATCAAAAATGTTTATCCAAGGAACTTTATATTGATTTTATTAAATAATTTGACCTATGTTATAGAGTAAACGCTTTTAAATTTGCAATTGTGTCTCTTTCTAGTTATTAGTCAAAGTTTAGAATATAAATGAAAACTTTTTCACCAGTAACAGATCAAATTTTTACATTGTAAGACTTTTGGTGATCAAATGGTTTGTGCAGTTGTTTCTAGTAGAAGATTATTCCATCAGAACAGTTATCATTATTTTGGGGGGAAAATTAAGTACATGTTCACGATTTAGTTATAAGATTAATATATTTATACTACATGTCAGGCGGGACATTTTTCGTTAACCATGTTGCACTTTTTTTCGAATTTAACAAGTGGACATACCCATACTAATTTGTTCTCTTCTTCACATGAAATAAAATTTTTGTAAAAAGAAAAAAATTATGTACATCAGAATCAAAGCAATACGTTTTTTTTTAACTTAGGGCTCTAATTACATGTATTTTCCTCTTTATTACAAGTTTTGACAGTATCAATTTAATTCTCTTGGTGATAAAACTGTTATGGTCCCAGGTAGGACTTGCCTCCATTAGTGATGATACTTGTATTTGTTAATATAGCGAACATGTGCTAATATCCAACGTATTAAACTTTGGATCAGTTTTCCGTTTAACAGACACTTGACAAGTGTTTTATTACTTTTTATCCTAAGTATGTAAAATTTTAGGATTTTATACAATAATTCAATTTAGTAATATTATCAAAAATCACACTTGTAACCAAATAATCTAGGATGCATAATATTTTCAAATTGATACATATTTTGGAACATTTTCACAAGTAATTATTTTTTATCTAAAAAAAAAATTCTTTGAGATTTTGAATTATAAATTCAATATATGGCCCTTAGACCATTAACTGTAAACAGACTTGAGTCAAAATTTCCAATCAATGTAACTTTGAAAATAAATTTCAAAATAAACCAAAATTTCCAAGTTATATTTGCTTCAAAATATTTAACAAACTTGAGCTTTTTTATGCATGTTTGGTTAAATAATAATGAAAATATTCAAAATCTAAATTTTGACTTAAGTCTTTTCTCAGTTTATGGTCTTGGATACTGGTCTTACAATATTGCGAGAAATACAGCTTGCTTCTGTCAAATTGTATCTTCAAAACCCTGATAAATGTTTTAACACTTGATTACTGATTTCAACAGTAATATTTTGACATTTTGCTTGTTTCACCTTTCGTGTTAAGACAGATTTTATGCAGCTACAATGGTTCCTGGCATGGCATTACTCCATCAGCGATAAAACT